GGCTGTTTGGTGGGCTCGGGTCGTCGTGGTCCGTCTTGTTGACGTTAACCGGATGAGATGGGCGACGGCTCCGATGGGGGGAAATGGGGGCTGGAAGGGTCTAGAGATGCTTGTGGAAAAGATGGCGAAGAAACGAACACCAGAGGCCGAAAGGCCCGAGCATTCACTAGGTCTGCAGCATGCGCAGCACGGCCGCGGATCAGGGAAAATCTCAGGTGGAATGACGGTCGGTCCTCTGCTTACGTTGAGTCGTGGTGAAATGTGGATGAGGCTCGGTGCAGTCACCGGACAGCACATTACGTACCATGCAGAGTGCGAAAGGTGCAAAGCGCCCCAAACGGTGGAAGACGGCACCTGGCAGGTTCGATTTGGTAGGTTGCAGCTGCCGCGCGGAGCTTGCCTGCAGACTGTCGGGCCGCAGCCTAGCAGCTTGCATTGAGAGGGGTTCCGTGTGGCTGTTCCTTGAGGCTGTTCGTTGAACAGTCCTACGATCAGTCGGTGTGCAAGGCTTTTTGTGGCGCGGCGGGTTTGGCGAACACCTCGCCTTGTGCATGCTCCGTTGGGTGGCCGAATGGACATGCAGGAGGAGTGGAAGTGACGTGATGGCACTGCAATTTCTGTGCAAGGCCAGTGTCAAAATTGGGACGCAAATTGGTCGGCACAAACCATAATTATTTGGCACTTGTAAGTCAGACTAGCTCGGGTACCTACTTGTGTCTTGTAGCTTTTGACGCAATAGGGCCGAGACTGTCAAGTAGGTGCCGAAGTGAATGCAACTGACACATCAACCAGGACCACTGATGTTCAGAGTCCTGGTCCGCGGTCATGTTCACTCACCCATGACGAGCTTGATTCAGTGCTAGGTATTCTGTCTACATTTAAAATACCTTAATCATGATGCCTTTGAAGTTTGCACTTTTGAAATCAAATCAAGGCACTTGACCCCTGAAACCTGACAGGTCAGTACGATAGCCAGGCTCGCCACTAAAAAGTAAGAACAGCAGCAAACAAGCTGGGAGATTTGGGGCCCAGGAGCTGGCGGAAGAAACTAGACGGACCAATGTAGTGTGGAATACCAAACTGCTTCCTCGCTGACTTTATAACAACATATCTAGGTGTTGTACTTCGCACCAAAGCTATACACTCTAAAGTGTTTTGTTGAAAAGAGGGTGTTGCACATTGAGTTATACATAGCTGCAGACAGCCCATTTCCAATCACACCATCACACACACCCACACAGCAAGAGTGTCGGACAATCAATTTTACATTGGAATGGTGTCCTGTACCGTTTTGTCAAGACTCGAGGCCAAGATAAACAATGTATCCCTTGTTTGCATTTGCAGATACATCAGCTTGCAGCAAAGTACAAAGGCTACCGTAAGCATTAGGTTTCCGCCTTGGTTTGGCAGCCATATACCCACATGATCATTGGTATCAGCAGGGTCAAGGTGTTAAAGCACAGACTTACTTACATATCTCGATCGCCCATTGTAAGACACCCATGTCTTGAGATATCTTTATCGGTGATCGATCGACCTCGGACTTGGTGGGACTCGGACGGAAACAAGCTTTTGCCATGTGTCTGCCAAGGCGGATCGTCAGTCTGTTGTGGAGTATGGGGATGGGGTTGTGGAGTTCTGCTTGTCGAGATTGTCTGGGAACGTAACAAAGAAGCCCATAATTAATATTTTGATCGAAAAGAGCCGGGTATTTGTCTTTAAGTCAAGGGGGTTGGTATGCTTGACGGGTATTTACGGCTGAGCTAAAGCGTTAGCCAAGTCTTGCTTGGGAAGATGTACGAGGCCGGTTTGTGTTTGCCAATGTCATATATCCAATCTCCCAACGGATATTCCAACTGCGCTATGTAAGGCTGCCCGTCTGTCTGTATTCCGTGCGCCTCCTCCACAGCCAGAAGCCGATACCCGGGGAAGTGTGATGCCGGGCGATGCCGGGCGATGCCGGACATATTCGCCAAGATGTATGGGTCTGTTGCCAAGAGATAACGAAGTGCCAAGGCCAAATGGCAGGGCAAGCTTCCCATGTGCGTCGTGGCTGATAAGAGGAGCCAAACCATTCCTGACAAAGAGTCAGTGTGTGTCTGGAATTTTGTATCGCAGTGGGATCACGTCACCGTGGCTGGTAACGAAATCGGAGGGTAGCAATGGTTCGAATATTTAGATGGCGGAGTCACAGTTGCATGTTGTAGTAGGAAAAATGGGAGCAGTTGCAGATCCACACGGGTCCCTGGGGGCGCTCATACTGCTCCGCATGGGCGAGATAAGGAGTGCGGTTTATCAGCTTTGCCCGAAACGACCATGATTGGCGACGCACCCCAGAAATCCCATGCTTCGTTCCTCCACAAACCGCATTCCAAATCGTCCAGAAGTTCTTACACAAGAGATTTGCTCCCCATGGATACAACCCCGACACTGCATCCCATGGCACCAGCCAATGGCATCTGTCAGGAACCGAGATGTGGTTTGGCCCCCTGCTGCACGCCTGCAAATCCTCAGCTAGAGACCCACCCATGCAGGCATACAATGCACCCCCACTGATTCCAGGGACCTCCAGCTTCCAGGCGAGCCAGGTTCCCTTATCAGTGGGAGCCCCCGTTCCCGCCCAATGCATCGATGCTGCACCTTGGCACACTACGAAAGATACGTGAAGTGGAATTGCGGCGCGCCTGTTGTGGGCAAGAAGGAGAATGGTCTTATCGGTCGACTGCATGCGGGCGGCTCGCCTCAAGCCGACACGGATGCGACGAGCTGACGACCCCGGGTATTTTACTCTGCCGGACCCCCCTCGGCTGTGACACAGGATCTTCTCCCACTACCAGCTCTCCAGGAACAGACTTTCTCTGGGCGATCTCTGTCAACTTGGGCCCCCCGCGACACGTCTGCCCTTCAAGCCTTCACCATGTCGACCACCACCCCGGTCGAGTATGACGGGGTTTCCGGCGTCGCCAACAGCGGCGGCGACTCTCTCACCCAGGACCTCAACATCTATTACTCGGTACGAAGCCACGCCCCCGTTGATGGCTGGACAACCCCGCCCGCTTTCCCCATGCCACTGACACCCAGTATCATAGGCCGCCGATGTCGCATGGATAATGACCAGCTCGGCCCTCGTGTTGCTCATGGTCCCGGGTGTCGGTTTCTTCTACAGCGGTCTTGCGCGCCGCAAGTCAGCGCTGTCTCTGATTTGGCTATCGTTGATCTCGATCGCCGTGGCTGGATTCCAATGGTTCTTCTGGGGCTACTCGCTCACCTTCTCCCACACGGGAAGCGCCTTCATCGGTGACCTTTCCAACTTTGGACTGATGAAGGTGCTGGGCCAGCCCAGCGTGGGCAGCGCCAAGCTGCCCGACATCCTGTTCTGCCTGTACCAGGGCATGTTCGCCGCCATCACGTTCGTCTCCCCACCGGCAAGCTTTGGCACGGTACATCACACTGACTCTCCACAGCCCGGCCCTCGCAATCGGCGCCGCTGCCGACCGTGGCCGCATGCTCCCCTGCGTCGTCTTCATCTTCGTCTGGCTCACCATTGTGTACAACCCGATCGCCTACTGGACATGGAACGCGAACGGGTGGTCCTTCATCATGGGTGGCCTCGACTTTGCCGGCGGCACTCCCGTGCACATTGCCTCGGGCGCCGCCGCCCTCGCCTACTCCCTCATGCTCGGAAGACGCACCGGCTACACCAAGATCAACGGTCTGCCGTACCGTCCCCACAACGTCACCCACGTCGTCCTGGGCACCGTCTTCCTCTGGGTCGGCTGGTTCGGCTTCAACGGTGGCAGCGCCCTCGGCGCCAACATGCGCGCCGTCATGGCCTGCGTCGTGACGCACATTGCGGCCTGTGTCGGCGGCCTGACCTGGTGCCTGCTTGATTACCGGCTCGAGAGGAAGTGGAGCACGGTCGGCTTCTGCAGCGGTGTCATTGCCGGTCTCGTTGCCATCACGCCCGCCGCCGGGTACGTGCCGCCCTGGTCCGCGTTTATCTTTGGTGTCGTGGGCGCCATCGTTTGCAACTTTGCCACCAAGCTGAAGATGGTCCTTGGCATTGACGACGCGCTCGATATCTTCGCCGTGCACGCTGTCGGCGGCATCGCCGGAAACCTGATGACGGGCCTCTTTGCCGCGTAAGTTGTGCCACGTGAATACCAGTGCTGCGCTCAGGCTGACATCGATGCAGCGACTACATTGCCCACCTTGACGGCGCGACGGAGATCCCCGGCGGTTGGGTCAACCACAACTACGTCCAGCTCGGCTATCAGCTCGCCGACAGTGTTGCCGGGTTCTCGTACTCGTTTGTGGTCACCTGCGTCATCCTGTTCCTCATGAACCTCGTTCCCGGCCTGTCTCTGCGTGTCAGCGCCGACGAGGAGGAAGTTGGGCTGGATGATGGCGAGCTCGGCGAGTTTGCCTACGACTACGTCGAGATTACTCGCCATCTAAACAGCCCTTCTCTCCACACCAGCAGCCCCGCCGAGAGCATCAAGGGCGGCGTGCCGGTGAAGTCTGCCTGAGCTTGAGCGGGATGAGGGTTGATGAGTAATGCTGATGGAGATGGATTTGGAATGAGACGGGAACGTGTTTTGTCGTTTTTAACTATGATACCTCTTTGCTCCATGCGCGCAATGCCAGCTTATAATTAATCGCTTTCTTCAAATATCGCAACCCTGTCGCGTTGTTTAGATGGTTTAGATGTTGAGTGGTATTGATAGCGCTAGGAATTGATGGCAGGGCAAGTCGAACCCAAGATGGGAGCAGAAGGGAGTCAAGGGACGTGAAATTCTATGGAGCAGATATTTCTCAAGCAATGTTTTGAGCAGTATTGGTTGCCCCTAAAGTCGTCCCGCGGCCCCTATACTTACGCACCCCGCCCAATATCCATAATCATCGGATAGCGGTCGGGTATGGCCTACATGAAGTATTGTGGGTTACCCGCGGATACCCACGACCGTGTTACGTGATGGAGAAAAAAGGGGAAAAAAGGATGCGAAGTGTGAGGCTCGAACTCACGACCTTGAGATGTCCTAGAGGGTTAACCCAACCAGTCATATTGTACTAATATGAGACTCACGCTCTACCAACTGAGCCAACCTCGCTTGATTACATTTTTAATCTCTGTTGGAATTCTTATCAGTGGGGTGGGACTCGCAGCAACACAGCACAATCATTTGGACCCTTAGCGGGATTGCTCTATAACTCGTGGACCTTCTTCTGTGCCTTGATCCGCTGCAATTTAGAGTGTGCAACATGGTTAGCTATGTATATCACCCTTTGGAAACGCATAGCCGCAATGCAATGCCCCGAGGCCCCTGAGCCCCTGAGCGACTTTTTCGCGCTGGCCCGCATATATAGGTTGCCCCTAGCCTTCGCAGGGCAAGGATGTCTTGTCGAACCTAAGATATAGAGATCGAAGATAGTAGGTAAATGTAGGTTGTGTTAATCTAGGAACTGAGAAAATCTCTATCTTTAGCTTAAAAGCCTTTAACAGAGGAGCCCTACAGATACCTAATACCCTACCAAAGACCAGTCTACCCCTGAACCCCTGAGTAGGTTCATCCAATATCGCCATAGTGGTCCCAATTTGCTACAGTGGGTTCAATAGCGCCCGCTTCGCAGACTGCACGGGTCTGCTCGCGCAGCTCGCGCTAGCGGACCCGGCATGTCGGGCGAGGACCCGGCGACGGGGAGCGCGTCGGGGCCGCTAGCGGCGTATCTGTACTGGCAGGGGGGGTTGGTGGTGGATGGGGCGGGGGTGGGCGGGATTCGGGTTGTGCAGGGCCGGGGGGTTGGGCGGGAGTGTGTGATGGAGGTGAGGGTTGCTGTGGAAGGGGGGGATAGGGATCGGGAGAGGGTGGAGGTTGATATTATTGGGGGACGGGGTACGGTTTCCTTTGTCGGGGTACGGTTTCCTTTGTACATAAACCAGCAGCTGGACCGGCGCGCCGTAAGGCATATCGGAGTACGAATAAATAATAATATTATTGGGGGTGGGGTGGGGGTTGCGCGGGGCGAGATTGATGTGCCGGGGGTGGGGACGGTGTTTTAAAGGGCGTTTGATGGTTCGGGGCTTTGTGCTTAGCTTTGGGAGATGGTTGGCAAGACCGGCAAGTGATATCGCCACCTACGTTACGGTGACGTTACCCGGGCGGTAAATAGTTGGAAATCAGGAAACGGACGTCATGATTCATCACTGCCGGCTCGGCAAAAATGGGGATATATATCGTTGCCGGGGCTTGTATCCAACAATCTCTTGGACTTCTCCTCTCACCAGACCACCAGATCCCATTGTAGATCAACCACAACCAAGAACGACGCCTCCAACCAGAACATCCCGAACCAGAACACCCCCAACCGAATCAAAATGGATTCTGCAGGCGCAAAGTCGATTCTGTCAGACGACATGCAGGAGCTGACCAAGGGCAAGGAGGGCATCATGGCCACGATTCGCGGGCACAAGGCCAACCTTTCCAACCCAAGTGAGTTGTGCCATGGCCACACCAGTTGCAAGATTGGAACATGCAACTCACAAGACAACCCCCAGACACCAGCGAGGAGTCCAAAGAAAACAGCAGAGCTGTTATCGAGCATCTTGGAGGGGACGACACCATGGAGGCACTCCGAGACAACCCCATCAGCAAGAGTGCAGCCCAGAAACTGTACGGGAGCAGAGCGAAGGCGGTGTAAACCGAACGAGAATGAGTTGCATTTGGGACTGAGTACTTGGCGGAATGGTCGCTGTTAATAGTACTTCATCAAGAATAGCGGATCAGCTTGTTCCCCATGATGCCACAGAAGCGACGTAGAGGGCGAAAGTGAGTTGACATGAGAAATTAGCAGCTGGCAAGCACCACGAGGTGTGATGCAGGCTCTCCGCCATATGGCTGGGTGTTGTTGATCTCCCCATAACCAACCAAGTCAAATGTGAAGACGAGTCACTGAGCTCCGGCACATCCGCTACTGCCCACCGCAGGCAACCCACCTCCCCACCCCAGTACATATCTACCTGTGGCCGTGGTGGATTTAGAGTTTTTGATAGTGGAGGGTTGATGTTTGGGGGTTAGGGAATACGGGTAAGCAGCCGAGGAAAGATACCATCACTCACTTCTTAACGTGCCGTGTTCAAAAATCTTTTAGACTGTGTCCGAGGGAGTGTGTCCTCGCAACAACAGCCATCGTCCGTCAAAGCACCAAGCCAAAAACAAACCATGTTGCTGACCCGGCATAGCCCGATGAAAAAGATATGTACATGAAACTCCTTGCTGCAAAGCACACCAGAAAAAGGTGAAAAAGAGGCAGCACAAAACAAGCCACAATACAACCCCCAGCACTTCCATTGCGAGGCCTCGTCTTCATCAACATTCCGGGTATCCACAGGGTCGTTCCAAAAGTCATACATACCGTCATCTACCGCGGTGCGGGCGGGTTGACCGGCATCTCGACGGGATTGCCCTGCTGGCCGGCCATGACGTTCGAGGTGTCCAACTCCGACACGAAATGCTGCTGCTGGTGCTGCTGCTGGTGCTGCTGCTGGTGCTGCTGCGGAGGCAGGGGGTATCCCTGGGGCGCGCCGCCAGGGTAGGGGGCGTAGTGTTGCTGCTCCGCCGTCTTGGGTGGCGCGTAGTACGACTGCTGCTCGTCGTACACCGCGGGGGCTGGCGGCGTGGTGCTGTTCAGGTACGGGCCGCCCGTGCCCGGCCCGAGCGTGCTCCCGACGCTGCCGGGCGGGAAGTACCCCGTTTGCGACATGTGGGCCGGCGCCCCCGAGGGATAGGCGCCCGGCGGGACCGCCAAGCCGCTGCTGTTGCCGCCGCCGCCGCCGCCGCCGCCCTGGTACGAGCTGTCGGCAACCGCCACGGCGCTGTAGGTCTGGGGGCTGCCGCCGTCGGTCTTCTTGTTGCGCTTGCGGATCGCGAGGAAGGCGGCGGCGCCGGCGATCAGGGCTATGCCGGCCACGCCGCCGACGACGCCGCCGACGATAGCGCCCGTATTGTTGCTGCTTCCGCCAGAGACGGGGGGTGGCGTAGAGGTGGTTGATTGCGCCGGCGGGCTCTCGGATGTGCTGCTGCTCGGCGCTGACGACGACGAGGGTGACGAGGTTGTTTTCGTCCGGTCATCAATAACGAACTGGGGTTCGTTCAACATGGTAACGAGAGTTTGCCTGCTATAGCACCGATACATGGATTTCGGCTCAGTGCCGGGCCAGAGGTACGTGATGCAGGCGCTGGCAGTGGACGCGGCGCTGGCAATGTTAACACACGGCAAACCCACGGCATCGATCCGGGAACTCACCAGCAACCCGTCTTCGGCCCCATGTTCTTGCAGAGTCCCTGTACCGAGGCTGCGTAGTCCAAGCAGGCGGTGAAGAAGGGGCTCGTTGTGGCCCCGGACGAGTAGCAAGCGACGACCCCTGAGCTGGTCGCGCAGGTGTCCTTGCCGCCGCAAGTGAAAGGGTCCGCTGTTGTGGATGATGGTTAGAGAGGCCCGAAGAACCCCCGGGTGGTAGGACTCACAGGATATCCCTGCCGTGTACCCGCAGGTATTCTCATTCAGCCATGTGTCGCTCGTCTCGCTCGTCTCGCTCGCGTCCCGCTTGGCCCCGAACCACGCTTCTCCTCGCCGCACCAGCTCCAGGGCGTTTGCCCTACCACCGGCCCCCGGGCCCTCGGTCGGCCGTGGTGTCCATCCCTTTGCGCTGTCGTGGGTCGATGCCTCCGTTTCCCTCGGCTGCAAGTGTCCGCCGCGCCCTTCGGGCATCTGTCCTAGTGGGCCATCCGCGCTCGCAAGGTGGGCGGCAGCGGCCAGCAGAAATGGAGAGAACCGCATGGCGGAGAACAATTGGCGAGGGGGCCCCTCCTCAATGCTCCTCAGTGCACAATGCGCCAAGCCAGGGCCTGAATCGGTGCTGTTTGCGTGACTGGACGTCCCAATGACCGCGGCAGGGCCACAATTCGCGATGGGACGTGGTCGGAAGATTCCCGGGCGCAAGCTGACGGGCGAGTTGACCAGTTGAGGCGGTTGATGGAGCAGCGAAGATTTTTTTTTTTGCTCATTCGCAAGATGCGACCGACAGATGAGGGAAACGGGACAGAGCTGGCGGTTGCAACGCAACGCCGCATCGCCCCAGCCATGCAGACCATCCAGCCTATGGCCGTCGTGGGTGCGTGGCCAAGCCAGTCCCGAAAAGCTGGCGGCCCAGGAGGAAGGATGCGGCACTCTCGGGCTTCCAGCGAATGAAAGGTGCCGTGTCGCGGGCACCCCTGGCAATCCTATCCTCAACAGCCGCTTGGCTGGGCAGACACGAGCGTCGGCTCGTCCAGCCTCCACTGCCACTTAGATGGGATTGGAATCCAGACCCAGAATGCTCTGGCGCTATTACCAGCGCATCGACTTGGAACTGGCAGCCTTGAGGGATGCTGGACGCGCTCAGCGCGCGAGCAGCAACAACCACACAAAGCTGCGCAGCCATGGCATCGCTGGCGCAACATCGAATCCTGGCGGCCCTGGCCCTGGCCAATCTCGCATGCATGGGTCTTTCGGTTCGGACAAGCCAAGGTCGCGATTACCCCTCATCAAGCAAAAAATAGAAGTGGAGGACGTCCCGTTGACCAATCCGCTGGAACCTCGACGTCTGGCGCCGTTCTGCGAGCCAGTGAGCGTTGCGAAAACCAGCCCAACCTGGAAACTTGGCGAAACAAGCATCCTGCCCCGGTTGAAGAACTGCAACATCCGCGTAGCCGCATGCAGCCCTCGTCTCGGGGGGGGGGGTTGTCTGTGGCTGCCTAAAAATCGGCAGTATCAGGCGATCACAACCTGAAAATAAACCCCACCGCAGCCACGAGAATGGATGTCAGACAGCAGGGGGTCAAGAATACACCTGAAACATTGCTTGGCCGCCAGACATACCCCAACCCTGGGCCTTGTCGGAAAGAAGCCCCCCTACGCTCCGCAGCAGCAAGCAATGTGCCTCTGCTGTCTGCCAGTCTTCGATTGTTTGACCACTGCACAGATTAAAGTGGCCGGACCCGCTGCAAATGGTCTGTGCTCTTGTATTGTACATACATAGGGTTCAATTTTTTGCCAGAACTTTAAGTGCATC